CCCCCCCCCATTTACGCCCTTGAATGAACACTTCTTAAAGAGGGCTGAGTTCTCACACAGTGAACGTTGGCAAGAAAAAAGAAAATTAATCTCTGCACTGACCACAAATAGCGAGGCTTTGGCCGATTACAGACTTGACGCTTTAGACTGCAATTGCAATAAAGTAAACAGCATATTGTAGTATATTTCTCTATTACCTGAAATATAAGTATATTTTACTGTACGCCATTTAGAAGAATAATCGAAAGTAAAATATATTTTACTTTTATTTATAGCATTATTTTAATCTCACCAGCTTTTATAAAGCTGATAAGATTCTCAATTTTTATAACCTCCAGTAAAACCAATTTCGGCTGTAGGCGTAATGATTATTTGTGTATATCCGTGAATGCACTTTCATGAATACATACTTCAACTTCTAAATCTGCATATGTGTATTTCTGTGTGTACTTATGTACCAACGTATATGTGTGCAGGTATATATGTGTATCTATATGAATATTGTGTGTGTGTACGTACATTAATGCAAGTACGCACCGATACCAAGTGCCAATCGTAGGCGGATGCCATATGTTTAAGAGGTGACGTGCCATACGCCATACATAGACTAAAAAATCATGTCTAATTTAATTCGCGTTTGGTGTATTTCAGGTTTTCATTTGATATATAACATTATATTCAATAGCATAACCAACATAACTTCAAAGCATTTTTTCGTTTAACCACTTTTGTTTGAATTTAGAATATATATAACAATATATTCTACAGGCGTACAAATATAAATGCAACTATCTGTCTATGTGTGTGTGTGATAAATTTCGCCAGTTCTAAAATGAAATATTGAAAATCAGAGACCGATTTGACTGGATTTGACAGTACTTCAGTCAAGCTCGGGCTGCCGATGTGAACTGTCGAGCTTCCGACACCAATCGAACTTGACCAAAACTTTCGTATTATGAATCATCGTATTGCCGCAAGCCTTTTTTCCGAATTTCTCGAGACGTTCCCCATATGTATGTTGTACGTGTTATAGACTTCAGAAATAGCCTACTTTAAGTTTGAAAATATTTTATATTGTTTACCCTCAATCCAAAGATGGAATGCTAGTGTTTACAGATTGCTTAATAATTTCCTTTAGTGGACCTGGGCATACTGAACGGTCACGTGCAGTAAATTTTGTTGCAGTCATCATGGCCCGAATGCGCCCACACTACTGTTTATGAGTTATTGATTCGTAAATATTGATTATGATTATTGTACTACATTTACTTTGATGCTTGTGTTGATAAACTTGTTGACAAAACATTATTCATATCCATTAGATATATACGAAGTGATTGGCATTGGAATGCGAAATTCACATTTTGCATATTCAACATGTGGTTAAACGCATAACAGAAGTAGACGCCAGAGGCGGGGCAGCAACTCATGGCTCGCGTGTCCAGTTCGCCCGTAATACCGCCGATACGGAAGTTCTAACCACTTATCCAGTGTTATATTGGATAAGTGGTTAACTCCACAATATACTTCTTTTGAAATGGGATCTTATATATCTTATGTAATTCCATAGATATCACATAAAAAAAGGATATTTTCTCTGCAGTGACTTTACAATCTTAAAAGTAAACAAGCAATTGATAACAATTGGTAACGACTACAGATTACGATTTCCCAATGTCTGGAAATAAGATAATTTCATTTATGTATAATAAAGTTTTCGTATAATCCCTCAATCCTAAATCATGTAATACAATGGGAACGTCTAAAATAATAATTAGAATATTTTAAAAAATGAAATAAATTGTCTTCATTCACTACCGAAATTAAATTGACATCTCTTTCGTCCTTCTGCTGCTTGCCCTTCCTGCCCTTCTTCTTCTTCTTCTGGAGGCAGAAGCGACACTCGAGCCTCTCTTAATTCAAAACACACCTTGGTCTTGCACGATGAATGTTTTCATAAACATGTGTATACCCTTCTTCATGGGTCCTCACGGATATACACCGACATACAGTATCACATACACACACCCGAATATATAAAGGCTCGCACGCACGCATACACACTGGCACGCACACATAAACACATAAATCGATAGTTCATTACAAAACTCGGGAGTATGTATATTATTGTAACGGTCGGAAAGAGAACTGCTTCCTCTTTCGTGCCATTGTGACCGTCGTTTAGAAAGACTACATAGCTTGGGCTCGTGCTGGGCCCAAGTGACCTTGATATTATGGATCGCCTGGTTGTCGGACAAGGAAAGTCCAACTAGATGTTTCCAGTAAATACGAGAGGCCTTGAGGACACCGGCAGCGTGTTGTCCTTTTCCATGCATGGTTCCGCCCTCTTAGGCGTGAGACTTGTTGCCATGAGTTCACCACGTGTCTCTTGTGCTTTCGTCCTCAGAATGGCATATCTTTCCTATATTTTTCAACAGAAACGCGTTGAAAATATTTCTAGATCATTTTGCATCCACAGAACAAAGATAAACCTGGCATTTTATTCCCCTTTTTTAAGGAATAATCGGAAACTTTTCCTTTAAGACACATCTTCATTGATTTCTTTGATTTTGTGTTCAAATATAGCACGTGTATATACAGGGTTGCGCCTATAACGTACCTTCGCTAGCAACGAGCTAAACTATCTAAAACGACTTAAATTCAATAAATATACCTATCTAAAACCAAGAAAACAAAAATTTGATCTTAGTATTGTAAAGGTTGTGTGTAAATAGCATTTTCAGGGTAAAAACTATAGTCAGTATAGTTTTTGCAAATATATTACCATGGTAACACTGTCATCCCATTAATATTATAAAACAGCTTAATTATCTTAAGTAAGAGAGAGAAAGACAGGGGGCGGAGGGAGGGAGTGAGAGGGAGATGGATGATGAGAAAGAGAGTAGGATAAGGGAGAGAGCAAGAGAGAGAGGGCGGATGTGTAAGAAAGAGAAAGTGAGTTTGGGCGGGAGGGGAAGGGGGCGGGGAGAAAAAGAGTAAGAGAGAGTGTGAAAAGGGGGGGGAATCGAGAAAGTAAGAGAGAGGAGGGGGACAGAAGAGACATAAAGACATGTAAGCAGATTTAACTGATGTAGAAATTCCATGAGAATGATTCTTCTTTGAGCAAGAAGGAATACCCTGCCCAGACATCTCCATCTTCTTGTTTTACTTTCCGTGTTTTTCTCTGCACAAGATGAAACTCGATTTTCATGTTTTTATTGTAGCAAGATTCATCCCTGCCAAAATTTCGCAAACATCCTATATCCACGGTAATAAAGTTAGTTTGGTCAGTTTCTCGTATTTACTTCATTGACGAAATCTGTTCACATATTTCCTCAGGTATCAACGCCACGGGTGTAAAAATAAATGAATAGATAAATAAATAGATAAAAATAAAAATAATTCGGGAACATACCTGAACGGCCGTACTACATAAGAGGTAAATAAAAACGAGAAAAAAGAGGTCTGTCCTATGGCGTCCAGATTGTTCTGAAGGCGGACAGGTTTCGCGGCCACGCTTACGCTGAACTTGATTTTCGGGACACGTATATAAGGATGAACTAGATCAGGGAAGGGCAGGAGGAGCCGCACCTTCCCTCGGCAAGCATGGCGGGTTGGATTAGCTCAGTGAGTAGCAGTAAAGCGTTTGTGTGAATCGCTAAAACCACAGACAATAAAGGTCTTGAAATTTTTTCATGTGTAGGTGTGCCAAACAAAGCAGGTTAATTTCCGAAGTTCATTTTCGGGATTCGGTGAATACAGTCACACTTGTGTACACATACATATACAAACATACATACATACGTTTTGTGGTATTTAAAATGGATAACTGTTATATTGCATTTTGTGTTAACAAAGAGTAACAAGGTATATACCGAATCACTTCGCAGTATGTATCTATTACCAAAACCGATTGAGATCTCTTTCTATTATCTATCTATCTATCTATCTATCTATATATATATATATATATATATATATATATATATATATATATATATATATATATATATATATATATATATATACATACATACATATACATATATATACATATGAATAAATATATATATAAGTATATATATATGTATGTATGTATGTATGTATATATATATATATATATATATATATATATATATATATATATATATATATATATATATATATATATGTTAATGTTTCACTGCTCTTGATGATAGTGTTTTGTTAATTACCAGCAGATGTGCGTAAGAAGAGTATGAGACATGATCCTTAAGGTTGTCAGATATGTAAACTTTGTTTCTTAAAATACCTCAAAAATAGGTTATCATTTGAAAGAAAAATGTAAATGTGTTTTTAGTGAGGTAATACTGCTTCAAAAATTGAAGGAGGGAGGGCTTTGTAGGTGCAGCGTAATTCCTCAAACTCCTCCTTCCTCCAAAACATCAATAACATGTGTAACTCAAAGAGGCCAAAACTAAACTAAACTAAACAAAAAAAAAATGCAATTTTGTTTTAATACTCAAGAGTACGTTAGCTAAATGTTTTCGTAACTAATCTGAAATGAGTGTAGTGTAAACAATATAAATTTTCATAAGAGGAAAGTAGGATAATATAAATGGTTTGAAGCTTTGAAGTTCTGATTATAATATACCACAAAAGATTGTATTTGATTTTTTTTCTACATTCGTGATATACACTTAATATATACTATTATATTTTTCCAGGTAGTGTTGTCTGCTGCAGCAGTTATCACACTGGGTTTTCCGTATCCTGATGCAGAATATAATATCCCTAATGTAGGTGTTGGCAGGCGATCACAGTTTTATGTTCTACACGCTGATGGGGGATACAAATACGGATATGACACTAAAGAAGGCACCTACGAGAAAGCTAAATCGGATTCCTCAGGAAATGTAATGGGATCTTTCGGTTATACTGATCCAGCTGGAACAGATGTTCAACTCGATTATACAGCTGATAGTAGAGGTTTTATTCCCAAGGGCACTCATCTTCCTCAGGCTCCTAGTGCAGCTACTGGTGAACTCCCTACAACGAATATAAAATATGTTAGCCCTGTTACATATACATCCCCAATCACTCCTGAAACTAGATCTGATGCAAGTTACAGCTTTAACTATGAGACTGATACCAGTTCCCGTTCTGAAAGTGCTGATTCCGATTTAAATGTTCAAGGAACCTATAGTTTTAGGCCTGATGATGGAGTTCAAAGAACTGTCAGCTATAGAGCAGGGAGTGGAATTGGTTTTGTAGCTGAAGGATCCCACTTACCTGTTGCTTCTTCAGAATCAGGAGCCTCTACAGCATCTCGACCTGTATCAGCAACAAAGGCTTCATCTCCTACTACATATTCAGCACCATCTGGAGTGGCTTCTGTTGGAAGCTCTTCATCTCCTGATGGAAGTTACAGGTTCAGCTATGAAACTGATGATAGCTCCCGGTCAGAGAGTGCTGACTCCAACCTGAATGTCCAAGGTACTTACAGTTTTAAACCTGATGATGGAGTTCAAAGAACTGTGAATTACAGAGCAGGGAGTGGAACTGGTTTTGTTGCCGAGGGGTCTCACTTACCTGCAGCTCCTTCAGGATCAGGAGCCTCCACAGCATCCCGACCTGTAGCAGCAACGAGGGCTTCCTCTCCAACTACATATTCTGCACCTTCTCAGGCGGTTTCTGTTGGAAGCTCTTCATCTCCTGACGGCAGCTACAGTTTTAACTACAAGACTGATGATAGCTCCCGGTCAGAGAGTGCTGACACAGACCTAAATGTCCAAGGAACATACAGTTTTAGACCTGATGATGGAATTCAAAGAACTGTGAATTACAGAGCAGGGAGCAGAACTGGTTTTGTTGCTGAGGGGTCTCATTTGCCTGTTGCCCCATCAAGTGCATCTGGAACAAGGCCAAGTGTATCATCTCCAGTGGCTACAAAGAAAGGTCGTCCTACTACTTATTCAGCATCTCAAGTGTCTCAGGTGAAAAGTTCTTCATCTCCTGATGGAAGTTACAGCTTCAACTATAAGACTGATACCAGTTCTCGTTCTGAGAGTGCTGACTCTGACCTGAATGTCCGTGGAACTTACAGTTTTAGTCCTGATGATGGAGTTCAAAGAACTGTGAATTATAGAGCAGGGAGTGGTATTGGATTTGTTGCTGAAGGATCCCACTTCCCTGTAGCTCCTTCAGGATCAGGAGCTTCCACTGCATCTCAGCCTGTTTCTTCCTCTTCTACTACATATTCTGCACCTTCTGGAGTAGACTCGTCTGGAAGCGCTTCATCTCCTGATGGAAGTTATAGTTTCAGCTATGAAACTGATGATAGCTCCCGGTCAGAGAGTGCTGACTCTGGCTTGAATGTCCAAGGATCCTATAGTTTTAGACCAGATGATGGAGTTCAAAGAACTGTAAATTACAGAGCAGGGAGTGGAACAGGTTTTGTTGCCGAAGGGTCTCACTTACCTGTAGCTCCTACAGGGTCAGGAGCCTCCACAGCATCTCGACCTGTAGCAGCAACGAAGGCTTCATCTTCTACCACATACTCTGCACCTTCTGGAGTGGCTTCCATTAGAAGTTCTTCATCTCCTGACGGAAGTTACAGCTTCAACTACAAGACTGATGATAGCTCCCGGTCAGAGAGTGCTGACTCCAACCTGAATGTCCAAGGTACTTACAGTTTTAAACCTGATGATGGAGTTCAAAGGACTGTGACTTACAGAGCAGGGAGTGGAACTGGTTTTGTTGCCGAAGGGTCTCACTTACCTGTAGCTCCTTCAGGATCAGGAGCCTCCACAGCATCTCGACCTGTAGCAGCAACGAAGGCTTCATCACCTACTACATATTCAGCACCATCTGGAGTGGCTTCTGTTGGAAGCTCTTCATCTCCTGATGGAAGTTACAGCTTCAGCTATGAAACTGATGATAGCTCCCGGTCAGAGAATGCTGACTCCAACCTAAATGTCCAAGGGACATACAGTTTTAGACCAGATGATGGAGTTCAAAGAACTGTGAATTACAGAGCAGGGAGTGGAACTGGTTTTGTTGCCGAGGGGTCTCACTTACCTGTAGCTCCTTCAGGATCAGGAGCCTCCACAGCATCTCGACCTGTATCAGCAACGAAGGCTTCATCTCCTACTACATATTCAGCACCATCTGGAGTGGCTTCTGTTGGAAGCTCTTCATCTCCTGACGGCAGCTACAGTTTTAACTACAAGACTGATGATAGCTCCCGGTCAGAGAGTGCTGACTCCAACCTGAATGTCCAAGGAACTTACAGTTTTAAACCTGATGATGGAGTTCAAAGGACTGTGACTTACAGAGCAGGGAGCGGAACTGGTTTTGTTGCCGAAGGGTCTCATTTACCTGTTGTCCCATCAGGTACATCTAGAACAAGGCCGGGTGTATCACCTGCAGTGGCTACAAAGAGTGCTCGGCCTTCTACTTACTCAGCACCTTCTGGAACAGCTCAAGTCAAAAGTTCTTCATCCTCTGATGGGAGTTACAGCTTTAGCTATGATGCTGATACCAGTTCCCGAGCTGAGAGTGCCGATTCCAGTCTGAATGTGCAGGGGACTTACAGTTTTAGTGCTGATGATGGAATCCAGCGAACTGTAAATTATCGAGCAGGTTCTGCAACTGGTTTTATTGCTGAAGGGAAACACTTGCCTACTGCTTCAACAGATGTATCAAGTCATTCTCAACCTCTTATTACTGTCAAAAGCTCACCTTCATCAGTTTCTCTCTCATCACCTGGGGTCCAATCTTCTCAAAGCCGTACTGTAGGTAATGTTTTGCTCCACCAATATGACTCAACAAACAAGTCTGGGAAATATGGCTATGTGTTTACTGAACTGCGTCGTTAGTCATAAGCATAGCTAATGACAAGACTCAAGACCTTTATGCTACCTGCGCTGCTCGGATCTCAGCGTTTGATTGTAAATATCAATAATTGCACTGAAAATGTCATAAAAAATAAACTGCATGAGAACA